ACCCTTTCAAGCAGAATCATGACTTTCCTGCCTCCCCAACGGAGAGGTGAATCATGCTGCTCTTCAAGGCTTATGAGGTTCGAGATTTGCCCTTAGAGGCTTAAGTTTTCATGGGGTACCAGCACAGTGTTGTAACAGTACAGCCATCACCCGGGTGCTGTAGAAGAAATGGTGTCCCCTCACGTAGCTTAATACTAGGTCTGCAGATCGTTTTTGCTTCCCAGTGAAGTCCATCAAATGAAGATCATGGCAGAAGACCGGAACACCATGGGTGTGGCAAACAGACCTGTATTCACTTGAAGCAACACAACACTTTCTTTCTAGAAAATATACTAAAAACATGAAGAAAAGAAACACCATTTTCTTGTTTTCTATAGAAGATACTTGCTCAGGACTAACAGATTTAGTATGAAGAGTGAAGCAGAATATCAAATTGCAATCAATATGCTCCATGCCTCCATCTCAGTAATTCCTCAATTTACAGGTATTTAAATACAGATGTTAGTGCCATGTTACTGTAGACTTTAACATCGAGTGTATTTAAGGCAGTGTTGTCCTCAGAGGTCTCCAAACAAGATATTATTTAAGATCATTATGGAACATCCTAAATACACAAGAAGACAAAAACCTTTGTGGGCTCTATGAGCCAGTGTACATGGAACATCTTCCTGTCCCTTTTGGCTGCTGGTACATCAGCAAGCAGGAACTTTATTTCTTGCAGTATAAGAAAGATCAGCTTTCCAAGCAGGAAGCCTGACTGATTAGTCGCCTGACTTCTGGTGGCCCCTTCTACCATGGAGTGACTGCGCGGGTGGATAAGGGAAGAGCAACTGATGTCATCTATCTTGACTTCTGTAAGGCCTTTTGACATGGTCCCACACAAAATCCTTGTCTCTAAATTGGAGAGATACTGGTTTGATGGATGGACTATTCAATGGATAAGGAATTGGCTGCATGGTCGCATCCAAAGAGTTGCAGTCAACAGCTCAGTGACCAAATGGAGATCAGTAACAAGTGGTGTCCCTCAGGGATCAGTGCTGTTCAATATCTTTATTAATGACATACACAGACAGGGGTACTGAGTGCACCCTCAGCAAGTTTGCAGGTAATACAAGCTGCGTGTGCAGTTGGTATGCTTGAGGGAAGGGATGCCATCCAGAGGGACCTGGACAGGCTTGAGAAGTGGCCCAATGTGAACCTCATGAAGTTCACCAAGGCCAAGTGCAAGGTCCTGCACCTGGGTTGGGGCAATCACCAGTATCAATACAGACTGGGGGATGAATGGATTGAGAGCAGCCCTGCCGAGAAGGACTTGAGGATATTGGCAGATGAAAAATTAGATATGAGCGAGCAATGTATGCTTGCAGTCCAGATAGATAGCCAATAGTATCCTGGGCTGCATAAAAAGAAGTGTGGCCAGCAAGTTGAGGGGGGGTGATTCCCTCCGCCACTTCACTCTTGTGAGACCCCTCCTGCAGCACTGCGTCCAGCTCTGGGGTCCCCAGGACAAGAAATACACGATCCTGTTAGAGCGGGTCGAGAAGAGGGCCACTAAAATGGTCAGAGGGCTGTAACACCTCTGCTGTGAAGAAAGGCTGAGAGAGTTGGGGCTGTTCAGCCTGGAGAAGAGAAGGCTCCGGGGAGACCTTACTGAGGCCTTTCAATATCTAAAGGGACTTAACTTACTAGAAAGATGGAGAAAAACGTTTTACCAAGGTCTGTAGTGACAGGACAAGGAGTAACCATTTTAAACTGAAAGAGTATAGATTTAGATTAGATATAAGGAAGAAATTTTTTACAATGAGGGTGGTGAGACACTGGAACAGGTTGTCCAGAGGAGTTGTGGATGTCCCATCATTGGAAGTGTTCAAGGTCGGGTTGGATGGGGCTTTGAACAACTTGATCTGGTGAAAGATGACCTTGCCCACAGCAGGGGGGTTTGGAACTAGATGATCTTTAAAGGTCCATTCCAACCTAAACCATTCTATGATTTTATGATTCTAAGACATATAACATGCATGGATCAAATAGATACATGATCAAAACTGCGCATGCATCCAAGAACATCCAAGAACAAGAGATTGGAAAATCTTACGCCTCAGCAGGCACACACTCCCCTGCCTCCACAACGTGTAGGCAGCACATATGCACATAAATCAACAGCGCATGGCCCATGTCCTTAGCTCCAGGTAGAAGTATGGATAGTGAATGAACATATAGATACCTTAGATTTGAATTAGTTGTTCACATATAGGCATCCAGTTACTTTTGAGATGTCCAAGGGCAGCTGGGGCATCCATGGAAAACTGTCAGATGTTACTCGTGGCACATGGGATATTCTCAGACATCTCAAATGGCACAAAATCCTACATTTAGGCAACTGAATCAAAAAAAAACACCATTGGTTGATATGTTTTGAGTGACCTTAGCATGAGGAAAAGAGTTGATCCACACCATTTTGCCTGAAGTCTAGCTGACAATGTGCTTTTAGAAGAAGTGCTAAATGTTTCATCCAACGAATTGTTGCTTTTTTTTTTCTTCAGAGCAGAGTGCCAGGAAGGTGTTGGACTAAAATAACTTCCCTGCACAGATTCTCAGGACTGCATGGGCTGAAAGCAAAGCTCAAAGACTTGCCAGGTGGATACTGTTTAGGTGGCCCTGATGTCCTTTCCAGAGCTGGATTTAGAGGACATGACTGTTAAATGTTTACCATAGATATGATCTTGCCAGAACAGATGAATAAGAAAGTGGCGCTCACACAGTGCATAACTGAAGTCTACTTTTTCATAAGAACTGTTCTTCCCAATGAAACTAGAAGCAGCCAGATGGCAATATCTTAGGGGAGCTTATACGAGCTCTCTTTAAAGAGACTTCCAAAAACTATGCTCAAAGATGAAAAAAAATCTGCCAAAAAAAAAAATCAGAATAAAAAATGAAATGGGGTTAGAAAATCAGAATAAAATGGGGTTAGAGGAAGCTAAATAGAAAAAAAAAAAAATTAGCATGCAGAAATCAGTAAATTCTCCAATTCAGCTCAGCTGCACAACTAGGAACAAAAATGTGTAGCACATACACATCCCATTTATGTTCACACAGACAAGCCTATGAAATATGTGCTTATGCTTCTGGATATCTCTAAGCAAAAAATCCTCCAGTGTCCAGCATCTGGAGGCATATAAACATCCATAATGCAAATGTGTATAAAAACAAGCACTAGAAAAATAACCTCAGCTGTGTTTTTGCGCTACAAATCTAAGTAAAAAAACTATCAGAAAACAGACTTCAAAGATTTTTCCCGTTTCTTTATTCCAGGATTCTTACTATTTAATTACCGTTTTTATTTTTGTTCAGTATTGATAAAACACCACACATAAAGTAGCTACAAAAAGCTTTCAAAGCATCTCAGTCAAACGCAAAGCTCACAATACTATGGAGCTATTCTGAAATATAAAACCAGCCTACACTGCACAGCATTACAAAGAGATGGTACCTTTTTTCTACTTCCCTGGCTGCACCATCTTGTCCCGTGTTCACATCTCCCCTTGGCCAACGGCCAGTGCTCAGGATCTTTGAAGACACACTCAACAGTCCATCGTAACTACCCTCGGTGTACTGGAACCATGAGTGCCTTGGGAAAGAGAAGTTGTGCTGCGCATCCCTATTCTATATAAATAATCTAATTATTTAATACCCAGGCCATTAAACAGAGTGGACAATAATTACCAGATAGGTCTTGGACCATATATGCTTATAAAAATTCCAGATAGTGCAGGCAAATGATGAAAGTACAAAATACAAGAGTGCAGAAGTATTAGGAAGTAATGGATCATTTGGATAAATAAGACAGGCATCCCTGATCCTTCCAGAGATGAAGCTTCTCATTGCTGCATTTTGCAGGAGTTCTGGGTATCTCTGCATCACTTAATGCTAAAGGCCTGGTGGCCTTTTTTTTGTTCTAGGTATTTTTAAGTTTCTATACGCTAAACATTTGCACTCAGGAGCATGCCTACTGCTATACGTTCCCACTGGAAATCCTCCCTAATCTAGATGTTTTCTTCAGCATTTATAAGGCAATTTCTTATTAGTTCAGTATTGTCTATAAAATACCACCTTAAAACATCTCTTTTCACATTTTTTGCGATTTCCAGAAAGTTTCTGCTTTTTCGGGTGCCTTGCAGCACTTCTCCACAGCCGCTAAAGTGTCCATTATTTGTTTGTGCCACCGAACTTTTTACACTCTTTCTATCAAGCCTATCTGACAGATTGTCAGTGAGAACAGTATATCAACTTCAGCATTTGGCATAAAAAGTGTTAACAAGAAAATAAACCAAAAGAAAACCTCCAAGCTGTTCTCCACCAGCGAGTACAGGAAAGCAAGAATTTGCTTTAACAGCAACATTAGTCAGTTGGCTGCCAGTGGTTCTATGTTTTAGATCACAGAAAGAAACTGTATTGGGTTATTAGTACTGTAGAAGGATTAGTATGAGAGCGCAATGAAAAATAAATGCAAGGGTTTGGCATGGAAACGATAGGGTGCTGTGCATGGAACTGCATAAAAATTTAACAAATTATTAATAATAACGCAAATGAGAAATTTAGAATTCTCCATACAACCTCTTGGTTGTATGGAAAGAAAAGAAAGAATGTGAGCTTTCTGATTTTTGTTCGTACTCGGATACAGACAAAAGTAAAATCAAAACTCATGCTTTTTCTAAGGAACACATTTGCATAATTTGAAACAGAACTCATTTCCTGAAGAAATTATTTTTTCTTTTTCCTCGGAGTATTTGTACATACATTAACTCATTAATTAGTAGGAGGTAACAATGGGATGGGCATACCATAGATTTCGTTACAGTTTAGGATGCAAGGCCACTGCCAGGGCTGACTAAATACCAAAACTCTTTGGTCGCTGCAGTCACTCATTTTACTCTTCATTGTCACTCATAATCTGACCGGATTCTACTCACAATCCTTAAAAACCAAAGAGAAAGACTTACCTGAACAGACCTCTTTGTAGGTAGGATTTGGAGTATACCCTCCTGCGTAACCCACTTGAGTGGAGTAGACTCCCTTCTGTCTCCAAAACTTCCTCTCGGCTCCCCAGAAACAGCCCATACCTGAATATTGCATGAAGTACATATCGTTATGTCAAAATCTGCTCGTTACTAAATCACTCATTCGCACATTAATTGACACAGTCCATAGTGGAAGTAACATCTATAGCCAGCACGTGATGGTCAAATGTTTCCCAAGATTATGCATAGAGTAACTATACTGAGAAATCCATTCTGCATCAGGGCACAACTTGAATAAAGCTTTACTTATGCTTCTGAATATTAACATATCACAGAGGACAAATCCTATAAGGGTTCAAAGGCCCAAACAAGGAGAATTCTCATGCACATTAAAAAAAAAAAAGAAAAAGTTACTTAAATGGCAATTGCGCTATTTGTACAGCACCATTTTTACTTTAGTTGATTAGCAAGCTGTCAAAACACAAAAATTTGTATTAATGGCAAACAGTTATTTAATTTTCTGCTTTCAGGCATATGCAGTCTTTAAAGGGGGCAGTAATAATGGATTAAATTATATGCTATACAGGAGGAAAAATGCTTTAGATTTTAAAAATTTATGCACGCAGGTATTTGATGTTCAGACAAAATTTTGGTAGTCATTCACCCCCATGGCCAATTATCAAAGGACATCAGACTGTCAACAGGAGTGAATTAGCAAAACTCTCCTGGTAATAGGAATCAAGCACACGGTATGAAAGCCAGGGGGAAGGAACAAACAGGACTAACATACACAATTCTCTGATGGCTGAACTAGTTAAGAGACGTTAGCTACAATTTGGAGGACTCTCTAAAGCTGAAACATGTCATGTACACTCTAGTATTGTCCTGGTTTCGGCAGGGATAGAGTTAATTTCCTTCCTAGTAGCTGGTACAGTGCTGTGCTTTGGATTTAGGATGAGAACAAAGTTGATAACACACCGATGTTTTAGTTGTTGCTGAGCAGTGCTTACACTAGTCAAGGACTTTTCAGCTCCCCATGCTCTACCGACTGAGCAGGCTGGAGGTGCACAAGAAGCTGGGAGGGGGCACAGCCAGGACAGCTGACCCCAACTGGCCAAAGGGACATTCCATACCATGGGACGTCATGCTCAGTACATAAACTGGGGAAAGCTGGCCGTTGCACTGTGCATCACTTGCTTTGTGTAGTAGTAGAAGTAGTACATTCTTATTATTATTGTTATTATTATTTTATTTCAATTATTAAACTGTTTTTATCTCAACCCACGAGTTTTTCTCACTTGTGCTCTTCCAATTATCTCCCCCATCCCACCGGGGGCGGGGGGGGAGTGAGCGAGCGGCTGGGTGGTGCTCAGTTGCCGACTGAGGTTAAACCGCAACAAGTATTGTTTAGCTTATCCCTGATTCTGGGTGATGTATTTTCTCTTTCAGTGATAACATACTTCCTTTTATTATTCCCTTACTAAAACATTTGAAATAAAAGGCAGTAAAAAATGAAGGCAGAAAAAAATAAGCTAAATATTAAATACACTTAGAAATCAATGATCCATGATGGGTTTTCTACTGATAACACTGCAGATACGATGGGTTAAAAAATTACAGAAATGTTCCTTCAAAGTACAACTAGAAGAACAAAGCAGTCCCTTCTATCAACTCTGATGGCTCACAAAGGCATATTCTTTCTTTGAAACTTCAGAGATTAACTTCAAATTAAAGTTGTAATGCACCAAAAATTACCGAAGTAATGACCCAGATTTCTCCTTCTAAGTCAGATGCTCAAGCAAGCCACATGAATTAGGAGCCTAGCCTGCTCCTGGAGACCATGGAAAGAGTCAGGCATCTCCTGAGGAGAATTCAGCCCACAGAAGTTATAAATTGCTGATCAAATTACAGTCATTCTCCCTTGACTACAGAGATAGCTATGGCTATTAGAGTTGGCTTTCTCAGCTAAATTAGGCTGGTGGCAAACTGCTGTAGGACCTCTCTTGAAATTCCCTCCCAGTTTTGCAGAAAGAACAATCAAGAATTCTTATCTGAGAAATTTTTCAGGCACTCACACATCACCTATCTAATGGTGATTTAAACTAGAGTGTATTTCTGTACCCGATGTCACTATTTTATCTCAATTCAGTCCGAGAAGTTCTCCAGTAACTATGCCCCTAGGTCTAGTCAATTGATATAGGGTGAGACAGTTTTTACACATCACTCTGCCTGTGTTGCACAGTACAAACGGCAGCTGTGGTCCCGCCATTGTCCAAATCAAGAGCGTAACTAGAGAACATCAGCAATCCCTGACGCTCAGGTTTCCTTCCCACAGAAGTCAGAGCCCGTGTAAGGGGGACAGCGCATGCCCGTGTCTCATCCCAACAGTCGGGTCACAGCTGAGAGGCAGCCTAGAGCAGTGAGCTGGGACGTGCTCCTTGGTCCATTGTGAAGACAGCCTTTGAACACATAGTTTAGACACAGCCTTTGAGTCTTTAACCAAAGAATTGCTTTAGAAGTATATTTTTATCCATGTTTCTCATATGCACAGGTAAAACTGCATGTGAACACAGGTATGTCTGCAAGTGCCTTGTAAAAATACCACAGGCATCCTGCCAAAATTCTTGTCGCAGTACATCGGAGCGATGCGAAGCATGTAGGCAATACTCATTAACAATACTTTAACATGGAGGGTATGCAAATTCTTGACTTTTTTACACTGAACAGGCGTATGGTAACACAGTTCAGAAGCAAACACAAGCATACGCTTGGGGTAGGAGGGCAAATTTCTGTTAAAATAAAACCCTTAAGCTTCATCGTTCCTGTCTGCAGTTCTTTACTCCTCATGCCAGCCTTAGAGATGTAGTTAAATCTTGACTACGTCTTCATACCGCTTTATCCATGAGGACATTTTGGAAGCATTACAGAATTAGACTGTGATGAAGAATCTATTTGAAAAGTGCATCTGATTTTGCTAAAGTCAACACAGAAGAGATTTAGAAATCTTGACTGGGACAATTGTTTAATTATGTGAAAGGCCTATTGTATATCAAGTCTATCAGGGGTTCCAAAAAAAGGTATTTCCATTCCATTGTGAGATAGTGAAAAGTTAGGAGCACAGCTTTTCCATGGCCATGCAGTCTGCTCTAACAAACTTTGTTCCTTCTGATAATCATAATTTACTCTGTCAACAAAAGAAAATTTTGTATTTAGATATGCAACCCCAAAAGAGGACGGAGGCAGATCCCTTTAAATCTCATCTATCTTAAATTTAGATATTTATCTACACACACTGCCTTGCTATTCTGCTTTTTTTTTTAGGACTGTCCAAACTTGGTCATCTCAGAATTCATTAGGTTCTTCTCTACTTCCCATGACAGTGTTCACCCAAACACGTTGTCCTGAAAAAACAGGCACCTTTCAGTAGTTCTCTGGTGGCTGGATTTAGGCGGAGAGCAGAAGAGGGCATCGGAACTCACATAGAAGTGGGCAGGCTTAGGCTATAATAGACTGCTTCCAAGGGCGCTTTTAATTTGTTTCGTGGGTTGTTTGCTAGCACCTAAGTCTGTACCTGTATCCGAAGCACTGAAAATAAACTTCAGCCCAAAGCTAATACCTCAGTGCTGTGCATCCTTAATATTACAAGGGAAGTTTGAGCTACAGCTGCCTAAAATCCCAGCTGCTTTTGCAGCAGGTGATGCCGAGACCCTTGCAGGAAGGACTCTGTAGCCAATTTATCAAACCAGCATTGGTTGGACAAGCATGCTGAGATGTGGTGAATGAGCTATTTCATCTACGCCAAGGAATAGTACAGACCCAAAATTTTCCCCACAATGTATTCCTAGGCCCGCACCTGAGCGCAAAGGAGTAACCCAAAATTAAGGACACAACCCAAATTAAGGTTTGAGTTCAGATATAGGCCCAACTTCAAATACAAAGTAGAAATGCTCGTTCTTCTCCTATTTATTTAAAGAATTTTAATGCTCAATAAACCCCCAACTGCACTGCCTGAAATTACTGATCATCAGGGTAGTGGTCACTGACTCTCCTTGATCAATAACTATTATTTAGGATTCTCTCATTGATAGCCCTCTCTGACCTGTTGATTTGACCTAGGGACCTACACCCTCATCATGGTTTCCTTCACTTTTTCTTCGCTGTAACCAGTCTACGTCTGAACTCATTCTGCCCGCCTTCCTCTGAGAGACAGACATTTTATTCTCTTGGTGAACTATTCTCATCATTTCTCAAGTGCGCTGGCACCTTGCGCAAACAATAAATCCTCACATCCACGAGAACAGATAAAATTGAAACCTTTGTCATAATAAAACAACCTGCTAGTAAAGGGACATAATTTATAACAATACAATACTAAATTGCTTTCCACAGTATTAATACATTCAGCGGTTGATGTTTGTTATTCTGCTAAAGTAGTGCCACGTTCTACAGAGAAACTGTCACAAGGAGAGAAATATTAACAATAAAACCCCACGTAATATTCCAGAGTTAAGACATATCAGCTCATGGAATGCCTATTCTTCAGAGCACTGGCTGCCTTAAGCCGTGTTTAATATGAACAACGATTACTAAAATAGGGAAATAATCTCAGTTCAAGAGTTCACATGCTCTTGTAGTACAAAAAAGTTTACTTTCCCTAATTATTCCTACTCCGGTAAGAAAACTGAAGAAATAAATAATTAAAATAATTAAATGAAATTAAACAATTAACTAAAACTCAGAGGGAAAAAACAGTAAAAAACAGTAGGAAAAGAGACATAAAAGCAAAATAAGCCACCCGTATTATAATTTGAAACTAGAAAACATGACTGCGATTTTAAACTACTCAGGAAATAATTTGCATAATCCCCAGTACTGGGGAAGTGAGTGCAGCTTTAGAGTTAGATAGAGAGCTTCCAGAGGCATTCCTAAGAGAAAGAAAAAAAAACAAAATACTGGGGAACATACTCACGTTCCCAGAAAAATTATTATTTGAACATAATGGGTATTGCAGAAGAGTGTTTAAGCATTAAAGATATTTGTCACTTTTTAATTGCTAATTTGTAAAACAAAAACTATTCTTTTAGTGATGGGTTTTGACTGAC